GTCTGCACTTTTCCACGAGCGCACACGGACGGCGGTTCTCGCTTGTGTGCGTATCCCCACCACTTCAGTGTTTTCGGTGCTGGCCGGCTCGAGCCTTGCAACGAAAGACCGGTGACGCGATAGACAGCGCGATTGCCCGTCTCACTTTAAAAGAAGGACGGAATAACTTAACCACTGAGGGCGCCACTTTCCGGGCAGAGACCCCAGTGCGGACTTCGGGTCTTACTCCAGGACCCTCTTAATTTCGGCTAAAAATTTCGTCCGCCATCTTGGTCCGCCGTCTTGGACCCGCCATTTTGAAGTTTGCAAATCTGACTTCAGATTCGTGATCAGTAACCTCAAAAACCTTCGTAAACTTAATTTGGTGCAAATCGGTTGACTAAAATTTTTGTCCGCCATCTTCGTTCGCCATCTTGAAAATTTTAAAACAGCCAAGGTTATATCTGAACGTAAAATTTTACGCTTTTTCATTTTCCGGTGTCAAAAAAGGGGGTTTCCATTCTAAAAAAACCACTTCCGGTTGAAGTAACCCACTTTCGGTCAAAATCAAAAGTTGAAAGATACGCCATTTTGGTTCCCCCTCGAAACCCTACAACTTTTATATGAAACTTTTTTCGATTCCTGGCCACACAAACGAGTTATTGGAGGTGATAGATTCAGATGACTCACCCTGTATATATATGTACACGCATAGTTTCCGCACAAACATCCTGCGAATGGCTCGTATCGGCCTTATTTATTTCCTCTTAAAGCTAAATTTATTTTTTCGTAATTACTAAAAACTGTGGGCAAAATTCTCCATTCGAAAGCTAATTTAGTTAAATCAATATTTTCTACACGCGTGGCAATATTTGATAAATCTTTAATATTTGATCTGCCTTTATTATAAAGTGCAACTATGGCTTCTAAAAAACTTAACTCTTCAAATAAGATTTCTTTATATGGCAAACGTTTTAACATTTCTTTAAGCGCGACTTTATAAAAATTTAAGCAATTTAATCTATTTTCTTGCGCGAATTCAAAAGATTGTGATGCCAACAAGCTTTCACATTCCGGTCCCACACATATGTCAGTCAATTGTCGGATGTTATGTTCATCGTCATTAAAAGTTGTAATGTCATTTAAAGCCTCAGGGATTATAAAATTTCCAGCTATTTGACTAATTAATTGCTGACTGCTAATAAATAATTTATGTATTAATATTTTATGTGACTGAAACAACGCATTGAAATGATTAAAAAAATGTAACGAATAGTTTAGAAATAATAAATAGGCTTTAATGGAATCATCATTTAATTGAGTTAAAATTATTTGTGCCGAATGTAAATTATTTTCAACTACAGCTAACATAAAGTAATTTCTTAAAGCATCCTAATTATGCAAAAGTTTTGTTACACATTTATGCAATATAAGCCACCGCGTGTTAGATAATTTTAGTATTTTATTTCTTTCAATATCAAAAAAATCTTGAAATTCGCTTAATATTGCGCATCTCTTAGCACTGCCCGAAACATAAGTAGCAACTCCTCTAATTAAATTTTCGCAATTTTGCGGCAATTTTTCACAGGCTTTTCTAGCAATTATCGCGGATGTATGACATATGCAATTAAATAAAACTACGTTAGGTATTTCTGATTTTAAACGCGAGAAAAAGTAATTATTGCATCCTGTCATTACTGATGCATTGTCGCTTGCCATACCAACAATATTTTTCAATGGAATTTCTTTTTTTTCTAAAAACGTTTTAAAAATTTTGAACACATTACTCGCGGAACAATCTGCGGCATCTAATGGCAATAATTTTAATAATTGCGTTTTTACTTTTTTATTTAAGGGCGATAAATGTTGAACAAGTAGACACATAAGTTTTGTGTCAGAAATATCTGTACTCTTGTCAATCAAAATAGAAAATTTACGACTTTGCAAAATTTGAACAATTTTTTCGACTTCGCGTTTGGCAAGGACTTCTTTAACGATTTCAATGCACTTAGTTCGACCCAGTGAGAGATGTTGCATAACTTTAGGCTCAATACAAACATCTTTTAATAAAGGAATTAAATGATTTACTGTTCTAAAAGCAACATTATGCTTAGCAAAAAATGCTGATAATTTTATCTCTGCGCGTTTAACTTTATCTTTATGGCAAGTTTCTACGGATGTTAATATACTTGATTCGAGGTTTTGATTTTGACAATGGACTTTTTCGATGTGTGAAACCGTCTGTGAATGTTGCACTAAGGTTGTTTTGCAGCATCTGATGGTCTTGTTACATATTATACAAAAAACTTTGTTTTTTTCTGGATGGGGAGCCAACCACCCTTTAAAAATATCCTCCTTTAACCATGCAGAACAAAAAAATCTTTCCCGTTTTTTTAATAGCTCCTTTTTTATTATTTATGTTCATATTGCACTTTTATTGCACGAATAATATTAACTTACCTGTTTACTGCAATCCAAACAGAGCTTTCATTACACTACATCACTGCATTAATGCTGCCCGCTAAAACTTTGGCGCCCATAACGTGTCGCATGTTGTTGTTATGATACGTCACTGGTCTAGTTTCCACCGAAACTCTCAATTCGGTTTCACTCCGGTACAAATTAAATTTAGTGTTCCGTTTCCATTGGAAGTAGAGTACTTATAGATCGAAGCGGAAGCGAAATCAGCGCAATTTTACAGGTTTCCATCGACTTAAATTTGATTCTACGTCGCATTAGGTGTGAATTAATGCTTCGCTGGAAACTAGACCACTGTATCGCCTGTTCCCACCGTCGCCGCATCGCGCATGCGCGAAAAAGCGGGCCAGATCTGGTCACACTGACCTGCGCTCCTTCCTTTTTCGCACGTACTCGGTTCCTCCGCTGTTTTGTCCCGCGTCCCTAAGGCTGACGGTGACATGACCCCCGCCAACCTCGGTTTAGGTGACGAAGTTTCCTTTGGTAAACTCGTTACCGAACCGGGGCTCACTAAATCTTCTTCTTGGGTTGGTGTTGTCGTCCGGTAGGCTTGTGTCTGGGGTCCCTAAGGGTACCGGTGACAAGGTTAGGATTTTTCAGTTAAAATATCAATAAAACCATTTTAAAAATATTTCTTTATTTAGAATATATTAAATATTTATAATATACATAAATTTAGAATATACATAATATTTATAATATATATAAAGTATTTATGATACTGTTACATCCTGGGCCTACGGTAACGGTCGGGCCCTTGAGAAGTGACGTAACTGACACTTGCGTGTCTACTCTCGGCACAGTGATCCAAAGAGATATGAGCGTGCGCGGGTCGAGCGAGATTTCGGTGTCGTAAACAACCCAACGTGTTTCTCGCTATTGCTTGTTCAACGGCTTCTCGCTCGTTGGTTCCTTTTCAAGTCTTAGATTGCGAATCTAAATTACTCGGGACGGAACCTGGCGATAAATCGGAGGATGACAAGAATCAAACGGTTATATGAGGTCCAAGAGTCAATTAATTTTAGCCGATTTTATTTAAATGCCACTTTTAATAACATTTTTATTCAACGTCTCTATTTCTCACTGTTTACATATGGTCGATATGCGGTAGTTTCTACGGATGTCGGGTGTCTGCGTACACTTAAGTGTGTGTTTGTGTGTGAATGTGTCTATCGGACTCAGTCGTCCAAGGTCACTTCTAATATTTCTTTTATTACGGCGGAGGGACGGGGATAAAACCGATAGAAATATCTTATAGGGACTTCGCGGATTTCGGGAAAACCAGGAAATTTAACTAGGATATTGTGATCAGGGGGGAGGGTACTAACTGCATAGCATTCCTGAAGAGAGTCAGGAAATTTCTTTCGAAGGTCAAGAATTAACTCATTCTTCGAAGGTGGAGGATCAGCAACAGGGGAGGAATTAGCAAGGAATATAAAGTGTGACAATTGCTGAGGTAAAAAGTTGTCTTCATCGTCTGGTAGAGTGACAGATTCGGGTGATTCCGGAGGAGGAGAGGGAGAGTGGTGACGAGGAAGGGTAGAGGGGGAATCAGGAATCTCACCAGGAGCTACTGGAGAGTACGACGGAGATTCTAAAAGAGGAGATTGATTGATTGATTGATTGACGCTTTATTTGTAAAGCGCTCTGGGACAAATTCCCCTCAAGCGCTATCAATACATAAGCAATAATAAACGCAGATAATATTCAATATAAGTACAAAAGCAATATAAATGAGTATTAGATAAAAATAATTAAAATTAAAGAAAATAACATAAATAGAGAAAAGAAAAATCTAAATACAAAAATATTAATTCTAAATAAAATAAAATATAAATACAAAATATATACAAAATATAAATAAAAGAAAAATAATAACAATAAAATATATGTAACAATAAAATATATAAGAACGCAGAAACAACACATAAGAAAAATATTTAAACTAACAAAACCATCAGGTAAAATCAAGATTGATTAGTAAGCAGATAATTGTACCACCTTATTCGAAAGATATCGAAGGACTCATTTCGCATTTCGGCAGAAATCGAGTTCCAAATATCCACCGAGACACATCTAAACGATCGCCTGAAAAATTCTGTTCGAGACAGAGGAAGAACGAGTGCCTCTCTGTCTGCTCTAGTATTATGGGATAAATCGTTCCGCCGAAAAACGAAAGAGTCATACAATACCCGCGGACGACGGGTTTCCAATAATTTATACACAAGGCATCCGAGAAAGAATGATCTTCTAGATGCGATCTTTAGCCATTGCAAATTCTCGTAATAAGATGATACGTGTTCAAACCATTTCACATCGAAAATGAACCTTATGCACGTATTCAAAGAGCGCTGCAAGCGAAGGTTACATTCACCTGTGATATCTGTAAGCAAAGTGCAACAATAATCAAAATGAGGAATGAGCAAAGAGGATACGAGCTTGGTTCGTAGCTCCGTCGATAGCAAGCGCTTAAATGTCTTGAGTTGATGTAGGGAAGAGTTTACCCGCGACACTGTTCGAATGACATGATGTTCCCACGAAAGTGTACTAGTAATAGTGACACCTAGATAAACAACAGAATCTCTATAAGGAATCTCCACCCCATCAACAACGACCCGAGGCAAGCCATCATGAACAAAGTTGCTAATGTACCTTCTAGTGCCAGAAATCATAGCCGAAGTTTTACTTGCATTTAAAGCAAGTTTATTACTAGTTGCCCACTCAATTACATTACAAATATCTAGGTTGACTTTGGTAATAGCTTCATGAAAGAGAGTTGGTTTAGTATGAATGTAAATAAGCAAATCATCCGCGTAGTAATTATATTTGCAAAATTGTAGATTCTTACCAAAATCAGAAACATATAATGTGTACAGTAAGGGACCAAGAACAGAACCCTGAGGAACACCACACCAAACAGGCAGATCCTTTGAATAATCACCTCCTGTAGGATCTCTCACCACCTGTGTTCTACCAAAGAGGTAGGAGCATAGCCATTTAAGAGCAGAACAAGAAAAATTAAGATTTTTAAGTTTGTTGACTAGAATCTGATGGTTAACACAGTCAAAGGCCCTTGAAAAGTCAAAAAATACAGTTATAGTTATTTCTCTCTGATCAGCAGCATACCTCATATCATCAATTACTCTGATAAGGGCAGTCTGAGTTGAGTAATTCTTCCTATAAGCGTTCTGGAAGGGATCAAGAAGATTATTAGTCTCGACATATTCTGTAATCTGCCTAGCTACAAGACTCTCAAGGACCTTAGAAAGTACACACAATATAGATATCGGCCTGTAATGCTTGAGTTCAGAGGGACACTTAATCTTAGGGATCGGGCACACTATAGCCGATCTCTAGAGCGATGGAAAAACACCGTGGAGTAGGCAATGATTAAATAAATGTACAATTTGAGGTGTAATACAAGGCAAAGCGCGAACGACCATGTCAAGAGAAAGACCATCTATGCCCGTAGCATTTGATTTAATACCACGAATGGCTTGACGAACATCATTATTGTCAATATTTCTCCAATAAAATTTTTCGTCCTCATATGATTCATCACCAAGGTAAATCCCGTTTAAATCAGAACTATTCGAATCAACTAGAAAGAAGGAATTAAGCTCTTCTGTAGAAAAGAGCAGACTCCTGTCAGATCTTTTCGACTTCACAAGTCCCAACTGGCGTAGATTACTCCAGATAGTTGCAGGATCCTTCTTGTTCGAGAAAATTGACAGATAGTAATTCTGCTTGGCCTCGCGCACCATAGCCTGGGTCTGGTTCCTTAGTCTCTTATAGAGACTGTAACTAGCTTCGGTTTTATTCCTGCGCCATCTTCTACGTTGTTTATTTCTCTCCTGCATACAGGTCCTGATTTCAGGCGTGATCCAAGGAGCAGGCAAATGCTTCGGGTGGATTGTCTTAAGTGGCGCATGTTTATTGTAGCAGTTTAAAAGGTTGCCATAGAACCAGGCAATTTTATCATCAATCTCTTCCAAATCAGCGAAAATATTCCAGTCACAGTCAGAAAGCTCGGAAAGGAAGTGGTTCCAGTTGAAGCAACTATAGTCTCTGACAGTGATCGTTCTAACATCACGTCTACTAACAAGAATATTATATGTTATTTCAATCAAATCATGAGAAGATAGAAAACATACATCTTGTTGATTGAAAGTAACAATCCTCTCACTGTCGTCCACAATACACAAATCGAGAAAAGTTGCAGAAGAAGATGTATGGTGAGTAGGTGCGTAAGGCACTAAGTAAAGAGCAGAAGAGTTGATGAAATTAATTATTTGTTCGGAATCAAAATTTTTGGTTATTAAATTAGCATTAAAGTCACCAAAGATAATGGAGTGCCTGTACAATGCAGAGAGATTACAATACATATTAAAGAAGTCTTGTAGATGACCACAATGAGGAGGCCTGTATGCAACAGCAAGTAAAAGTTTCTCTTGAACAGCCGAAATTTCCGCAAACAAAAACTCTGGTTTTCTGCAATACAAACCATCGGAGGAAGCAAGTATCTTCACGTTTAACGAGTTAACAGCAAAGAAGGCAACTCCCCCACCGCCCTTGCCAATGCGGTCGCATCTGTGTAACTGATAACCTGATAGAGAGACCATCTGGTCTGTGATCGCAGGTTTGAGCCAGGTTTCTGATAGGCAGATTATATGGTACTGTGACTTGACAAAGAAATCCCTGAACTCATCAATATGTGCCAGTAAAGATTGGCAGTTCACGTGACAGACTCGTAAGCAATCCAGAGTAGTTGAAGTATTAGCCATAATTGATATTTTTGATCTTTTCTTCCAAACGCTTTCTTAGGATCGAGCATGTTTTGCCATCTAACGCCGAGTGAGGCTGTTCTTCGTTCATCCATCTCTTGCAATTACCACATAGTGCAGTGCTATCTTTTTTAGGGCAGTCTTTCATCTCATGCGCTTCAGCGCANTGTCCACAGAGGGAAGCCGCAGAGCAGTTCTTCGANATATGACCAAAAGCCAAACACTTGTAGCACTGCAAGACACGAACATAGTCTTCTAATCGACATGCAGAATAATTAATGTAGACATGTGAGCCTGTCAATAATTTCGCGCGTATGGCCGGGGACACCTCAATAATACAGCTGACGTATGCTCTATTTCTTTTCGGTGGGAAAATGTAAATAACATCCACATCAGTATCGATCGTCCTGTCCAGATTAAGAGCAATCAGCTCAGTCTTCAGATCTTCCCTGGACATGTCGACAGGAACATCATGTAAGATCAATCTAGGTCTTAGCTTTGTGAACTGCTTGATCTCTAAACCGGCCTTATCCAATTCCTTAGAGTTTTTAATTTTATCAATGTCACCTGAAAACGCCTCAATCCGTACTCCCTTGTTCCGAGTTGACATAATTCGATTNACTTTTAAATTAAAATCTACAGGCTTTATAATTTTTTTAAAAGTCTCCTTGGTTTCCTTAGATGAGGCAAATTTTTCCTGAGTATCTTTTTTAGGCATAACTAAAATATTAGTTGATTTTTTGACCGGTATAGCGGGACCGCGTGCTATCTTTATTGCCGAAACTGATGCCCTGGTAACTGAAGCGTAAGAGCGAGGAGTACCAGAACCTGTATCATGGTTTTCACGCGACGATTCCACATTAAATTGCGATAGCGCCTGTGTTATAATGTTTTTGACCGATTCAGGCGATAAGGAGTCATTCTTTCTCTCATCAAGCAAGTAGA